CAGACTGGGGCTCTGGACTAGAGAAGTGTGGGCTCAAACCTAGGCTGGATTAGAACCCAGAACTCTGTGGGCACCTCGCCTAGTTTGCTCCCAGTAAATGTCTTGCCTCACAAATGGCTCTCCGGGTCGTCACTTAAAATAAATCTGGATATATACTATTTATGTAATTTATGTTAAAAAAAAGTTTTCAAGATTTGTTTTTTTAAGTAGACATCTTCACTGCGAGTGTATAAAACTTTGAACATTTCAGTTGTGGTGCCTGTGTTTTCCAGGAACGGTGTCTGTCTTAGTTCATACTTGAACCCCTTAGTGTTGCAGACGTGACCCGCAAGCGGTACGTCCAACTCGATTCGGTGGCGATGCGTCCGCCTCGCATCCTGGCGCTAGGATTCCGGCTGTTGTCCCGTTTTCTGGACCAGAGTCCGAGAAGGCAGCGGCTCACGCAGGGTGTCGCCTTGCAGGTCTGATAACCGTGAAGCTGGGGGAGCAGTGCTCGGGCGCCGTGACGGTGTGTCTGAGCGCGACCTGCGGCGTCGTCAGCCGGGAGGTCTGGAAGAGCGAGCAGGCGGAGCTGGTCTGCCAGGAGCTGAACTGCGGGAAGGCGATGGATCCGGTGAATCCCCCCTCGCGGCAGGACCAGGTTCTGGTGAAGAGCGTCCACTGCACCGGCCAGGAGACGGTTCTGGGCCAGTGCGGCTTCGTGCTGAACACTGACACCCAGTACAGAACCGAGCCCGCCTTCGTGGTCTGCGCAAGTAACTGCCACACCTTCGTCGCTCCGCGGCGCGATTCTGCTTTTTTTCTTTCCTCCTCAGCAGCTTGAAAGCGTTTGTCATGGCTCGCACTTGCAGGGAAAAAAAAAGTTGGGCAGCCTAAACGTCACAGCTAGACTGGAACTCCCTGAACTTGGAGAGTCACTCCAGATGCTCTGCATATCTCACTCCTCTATCACAGTCATTAGGACCTGACCCAACTACTGAAACTGATCTCGGTAAATTAGTGTATAGAGCTCTTACCCTCTCAGCTAGACTGGCTCTCCCTCAGCTAGGAGCTTCATGCCAGATGGGATCTCAACCTTTACTGCCGCCTGCACCCGAGTGGATCTTAAAATATGCGCCTCCGATCAAAAATCGCTGAACTAATTTTAGCGATTGTGTTTTTGATGATTTACCTTTAAAAAAAAATGTGTCTCACACCCCTAGTTGGTGCGCGCGCCCTAGTTTCAAAAGCGCCGATGGAGTTTATCACATTCGTTAGGATCTAACCTCAGGGAAGTCCGTGATCAATTATTCTTCAAGCACAAATCACTCGCCCTCTTCATTCCAGGAAGTGAACGTGTAACTGCCTTGTGAAATAAACTACAAATCCAATTATTACTTAACGAAGTGTTCATTCCTCTCGGGTGTCTAAGTATAAGTGAGGGCTAGCGACGATCTGCCCACTCCCGAGCCGAGCTTTTTAAGCAGGCCGTTGTGTTGGTGTTAAAGCACCGGGGGAGAAATTCTGCCCCCCTGGACACCCCGATTTAGAGCGCGGCGCCCCCGTGCTTTACTGAGAGGCTGCGCTGCGTCACTCGCCTTCCTGGCACCTCCGTGTCTTCTCGTGATCTCCGGCAGGGCCGCCTGCTGTCACCGCGTGTCCGCGGCGTATTTCCCTTACCGCTCGCCTCTGTTAGCACGTCACCACGGGCGATGACGAGGACGCGCGTTCTGTGTTCCCCGTGTCCACCCCAGAAAGCGTGAAGGCGCGCCTGCTGGACGCCAGGGACCAGTGCTCGGGCCAGGTGCAGGTGTACCACTCCGGGGGCTGGCGGCCGGTGTGCTCCGCTACTCTGAATAACAAGGAGCTGAGAACCATCTGCAACGAGCTGGGCTGCGGCAAGCCCGACGTGAACGGGACCGTCGCCACCTACCTGCCGGTCAACGGTAAAGGGATGAAGAGCGTCAAGTGCAAAGAGTCCGCCGGCCGCCTGTCCGACTGCACCTTCGGCCCGGAACTCCAATCATGTAATCTGGCGGGCCTCCGGTGCTCCGGTGAGACTGGGTCTCTTCCCCCCCGATATTAATACTGGAAAGTGTCGTTAAGAACCTAAGAAAGTTTGCAAACAAGAGGAGCCATTCCGCCAACGGGCCCGCTTGCCCGGGCGTAGTCAGATCTCGTCCAGCTGTTTCGTGAAGGAAGCGGGGTACGTGTGTCCTGACTGAGACCCACCCCTCGCCACGCCAGCTGGACGGTCAGATAGGGCTTAGACGGGCCGAGTGACCTCCTCCCGTTCGGGAACTTTCTACGGGATGTGGCGGCGTGTCGCCTCCCCTTCCCCGCCTTTGAAAACCGCGCTGCCGCTCTCCTCCCTTCTCCGGTGAGTTCCCCTGAACTCCTTGCCTTGCCTTGTTTCCCCGAGAGGCTGGAGAAGGATGCTGTTCACCGGGAGCCGCGCCTGCTCGGGGGAGCTGTTCGTCCTGGACGCCGCGGGTCTGCACCCCGTCAGCCTCCAGCGCTTCACCAAGTCGGCGGCCGGGGCGCTGTGCCAGCAGCTGGGCTGCGGGGCCTTCCGGAACCTCTCGCACAGCCCCAGCGACCTGAGGCAGTGGTGGAACAGCAGCTACGACTGCAGCAGGACCGCGGGCAGCGCCAGCGTGTGGGAGTGCGAGGCGAGGGCGAGCGGGGCCGCCGGGAACCTTCAAGCCTTCGTCGAGTGTTCAGGTAGCTGCCGGCCCGCTGCTGCGCCCCCTGGAGAGCAAAGTGAGGGGCGGCCCCTGCGGCGGTTGCCCACTCGTACACGCTGCCCGCACACACGCATGCACGACACTGGGAAAACGCTGCGACTCGGCAGTTACAGTATTTCTGTTTAAGAAGCCACGGGCTTTCTGTTCAGCCTAAGCGCTCGGTAACATTTTAGTTAGCACTTCATGTGTTAAAATGACGACAATACCTCATGCCGTATGTGAATATACATTTATATTTTGTTGGGTTTTTTTTTCTGGCAAAGTATTGGATTTGCATACAAATGTGCATTACAGGTCAGGAGTACTGCCTTGCCCTAACTGGTCTAGGAGGTGGCTTAACTGGACGGGTTATTCAGGGGAAACTCTGCCCTGAGACTCCAGCTCTGGACCTTTGTCCCTTTTGCTGAACAGTTCCTCAGCCATGGTTAGGCACCCTCTCACTGCACCATTTCATCAGATATGAAAAACTGAACCCTGTTGTCAGCTCCGCTCGTTGCTTCTTTAAAATGAAACTGATGCTTCGGAAGGGGTTTAAATGCCACCAGCATGAGCAGCCCCTGAATGCTGTTACAGAAAGGCATAGCCCCACTTTGTCCTTCGGGGCAAACACTGTGGCGCATCTGATAGACCACAGTGGATGCTGAAGATGATAAGGCGTTACAATATTTCCTGTTTTGGAACTCCTTACACGAAGAGTTGCGGGTGCGTGGAACAGGCTCACCCGGCCATGCTGCGGGGGCCGCCGCCCTGGCTAGGCCTGAATAAGCCCGGGACCTGGGGTCAGTTAGCGACTTATTGCCCAGCAGGCGGAGGGGCCGGATGCCCCCCCTGCTGGGCTAGCAGGAGGACACAGGAAGCCTGATGTGCGACGTTGCTCAGCGGCGGCTCTGGCCTTGCAGGTGACGTCACGGCCCAGCTGGCGCAGCGGCACAGCCGGTGCTCGGGGGAGGTGAGGATCGGCGCGGACGGCCAGGTGTGCGGCCGCCCCTGGGGGGCCGTGGAGGCCGCGACCCTCTGCAAGGAGCTCCGGTGCAGCGCCGCCGTCCCCGAGGAAGCCCCCGCGCGCCCCCCGCTCCGCGCCCCGGGCTACAGCGTGATCTGCAGCGGCAAGGAGTCGGCGCTGTGGCAGTGCAAGACGGGGCGGGTGCAGTCGTGTGTGGAGGGCGCCGTGACCGTGGCCTGCGCGGGTGAGGGCCTGCCGGCGCGGAGTCTCGCTGTCCCCGAGCGGTATATCCTCAGGGGCACTACTAGGGCAGATGGCAAAGAAACAGGGCGGGAAATAATTAGAGACACAGGGCACTGGGTAGGTGTGTAACGCAGGTGACTGTATATCAGTCAACACTGGCAGATCTCATTTCAAGAAAGAATATGGAGAAACGAATGAGCACTGTGTTCAGAACAGTACTATTGAGCCCCTGGGTTTGTAACGAATGTGCCGGTTCTTCCGGTCACGGACAGCTGCTGGAGGACTGAGGAGGAATGCTGTTCTGGCGGCACTTCCCACAGTCCCTCAGTCCACCCACGTGGACTGCTTGTCTTGGCACTGTCCGAAGAGCCCAGGTGGACTGTGATCTGGCAACAGGAGCAGCTATGATCTATGGCTAATTGTTTCCACAATTATTTCCAGTACTCTAGGCTAAACATTTCCTCCAGCCACAGAAATTTGGTCCCAGGAAAAGGGAAAACAAACGAGGTGTGAATTATAGTGTGACGTATGGTTGTACTGTCAGTGTCTGCTCCAGCAGTGGCCTCTGGTCTGTTGTGCTTTGAGCTTCTTGCATTGCCCTTGTATGTGGCGTCTGTGCAATGAACGTGTTTCACACTGGAAAGGGTGCAGCCTGTAGGCAAGCAGAAACGGAAAGAGCAGATCACAGGCTCCTCACACAGTTACAGGCTCCCCGTAGTTGGACAGACAGGTTATTGTCCACAACTGTGCAAATTTGTCTATAAAATATAAAAAGCACTGAAGTCACATAAACTCACATCCAGGCGCAGAAGATCATAACAACGGTGCTTGACAAGCAGAGTATCTCTTCCTGCCCGTAGCTGAGTGCCAGGCCCTGTCTGTCGGTATTCTTCATGTCCTGGCGCTGCGGCCGATTGCACAGGCTGGATTTCGAACGGCGTGTGAAAACGTGCGCCCAGGCCACGGGGAGAAACGCTCCGCTCTGTGTGCTCTCGTTTTCCAGACAGCGTTGAGGTGAAGGTCTCCGGCATGTGTGGGGGGACGGTTCTGGTCCGCTACAGGAGTGAGTGGGAAGGGGTGTGCCCGCTGAACTGGGGCTCCAGAGAGGCCCAGCTGCTGTGCCAGCACCTGAACTGCGGACCGCCTCAAAATCTCGGACAGACGGAAGTGCAGGACGCCTCTGTGCATAACTCCTCCCTGGACTGCCTCCCTGGTGCCGTGCTGATTAAACACTGCGTCCGTGGTAGGAAGTGCCAAGCGGCGGGCAGTGGCGTGGTGTACTGTCAAGGTACGACTCGGTCCGATCTTCTGGCCGGCCGGCCTGGTGAAGGGCGTTTCATCCCGTGAAAAACAGATTGCTCAGACTGAAATGTCAGGGAGTCCTCAACGATGACACAGGCAGCTCAGATGAGTCTTCATGGGACGCGTGCCATTATTAATGATCATTCAGTTAGAGAACGGAGGAAAGACGTGCTTCTTTGCCTTTTCTGATTTCAGGCTATGTTCCTAAACAATCCGGGAAGAGTCCCGTGTCTCTGATTGTGGGATTGCTCCTGGGGTTAGGTATCCTCATAGCTGCAGGGATCCTGATAGCCTGGTTCTGGAAGAACAGGAGGACCAGGAATAAAGGTTATTCTTTCACCTTTCTCTGCCTTAAAAACAGGGCACTCACAGGCTGGAGCTCGGGTAAAACCCTCTCTCTTGTCTTCTCCCAGGACATTCAATAAAGAGAAGATCTGTCTTTACGGACAGCGTTTCTGAATATGAGGAAGTCCCTGACAACGACTCGGGCACGACAGACGTGATGCTGAAAGATTTACGTGAGTGTGCGGAAGCCGTCCCCAGTGCACAAAAAGAGCTCCACAAGCAATTGTTCCTCGCTTGTGTCTGCAGCTTCTTGTGAGCAACTTGAAGTGTCACCATCTTGCTTCTTTGATTGGAGAACTGCTTGGATATAATCAGTTCTGATAAGAATCCATTTTGATGTGTATCAGTCTGCTATAAATTATTTAAGTATGTATTTTTATGATGGATTTTGTAGGATGAAACATTTCATTTGAAAGCACTTACTTTTTTGCTCAAGATACTTCTTTTGCTACCAATTAATTGTGTTTCTTGTCTGATGCGGACTCCTCCGGGAGCTTTTCTAGGAACTTTTCCTCAGTCAGAACCTCTCTTTAAATTTCAGTGCTAGGCAGGATTGGATCCCTCAGATCCCCGTATTTCCCAGGACACTCCTTGCATGTCCAACAGGAGCTTTCACCATGTGTGTCACAGGGGAGCCCTTTTGTCACGCAGGTTAATTTCATACTTTGATATCTTGATTTGCTCTCTCCGTCTTCTGTGCTTCAGAACCTCGGCCAGGATCAGAGACATCAGCTTTGCAAGTGATTGGAACAAGCAAATACACCTTATCCAGAGGCAAGTGTTGATGAAGCGTGATACAAGGTTCATTTTAAAGACTGTTTTGTCTCGGCTTTTCTATTTTTCTTGCCACGAGAAGATGGAAAGCACTTACACAGGTCTACCCTGTGGTTTGCTTGTACTGTAATTGACATCAATATTTCCATCTTTTGATTTTCTACCAAGCATTTACTGTAGTTAATACTGTATATATTTTTAGACAGATTCCTAACATTTGTAGATCAAAAAACGGAGAAGGTAATTCAGTTGCTTCTATCCATAGATACTTTGACCAAACTGTTATGACTTAATTCATTCTTATTTGGTACTTCCTTTTGTAGTTAGCCTGGTCTGTGAGTATCTTGTGCAGGGTGTCTCAGTATACAGTATACTGTGGAGATCAGGTGAATCCTGTCTCTGCTCATTGAATGCTGTTTTCTGGTAGGCGTTACTGAATTGCTTGGTTGGTGTTTATGCTTCATCGAATATTGTACTTTCTTGAAAGTATTTTGTCATCTCTTTGGGCATGACAATGGTGTAGTTATTAGTGATTGATGATGACTCCGAGGTCCAGGGACCTATTCTGGGCTGTGTGGAGTTTGCATGATTACCCTTGTATTCGTGTTGCCTTTTCTCTGGGGACTCCAGTTTCCTCCCACCTGCCAGAGACGTACCGGTCAGTAGACTGGCTGTGCTCCATCGCCCTCTCTGTGAGGGACGGGAGAGAGGCCCTGGCGTCTCTCCTCGGCCCGATGTGCTTGTCAAGGCTCGGCCTTTACCCCCATCCCTCTGTGCTCCCAGCCCCGGTGCCAGGCGCGGATGTCGAGAGGGGCCTGCGCGCCTCCAACTCGTCTCTCACCGACTACGACGATGTCGCCGAGGGGCCCCTGGAGGCCCCTCCACCCCCTGCAGGCGCCAGAGACAGAGGCGAGACGGGACGGGAGCACCCGGTGACCGGTAAGGCAGACCGCAGTCGCCTGTGCGCTTACAGTGCAACGGTGTACGCGCTTCCACGCCAAGCGCGTTTGCTTCTCAAAGGAACGCGGGTTTTCGAAGCTCCAGCATCCTCCTCTGAATGTGTGACAGGCGGCGTGACCCCTGACCCTGAGCCCGGTCTCCAGCCTGAGATCGATGATGACGATGTCACCGCCCCGCCCGAGGCGCTGGTGGACTCGGGAGCCGCCATGGATGGGCCGCCAGAAGGGGGTGACGGTGAGCAGGTCCAGAATCCTAAAGAGGAAGACTACGTGGAGCCTGACATCCCAGCAGAGGACTCTAGGTGAGTGATAGACCTGCGCGATATCGACTGGGCTACCACTGTGAGATTCCTGTTCTTCTTCATGATCTCAGATTGACCCCACCACTTATTCCTGATTTCTTTTTCAGTACAGGCACATTAGAAGACACTGGCTAGAAGCGGTTTCAGCCTGCGGTGGAATTATTACACTGAATCTTAACTGAGTTAGTAAGACTTCACTGGCCTTTAAACTAGATTGCTTTTTTTTTACTGTAGTACGTCTGGGGTCCATACCCTGGTTTACTAGAATAATGAAGAGTTTTGTGTTTTTTTATTCAACAATTAAACTTCAGAATGTCCTCATGGGATGGTCTCTCTGTCTTTTGCGGGCTCCCCTTGTCCAATACGGTCCGGTCGTGGTCCGGTCATGCCGAATGTGTGCTGAGCGCTTGCTAGCTCTCTGGGCAGTTGCTCGTGTCGGTCTGTCGATGCTTGTCTTGCTTTTTTTATCCATTTTTTATTTGCATAAATGCGTTTTTACGACACTGAAAAAAATATTTTTTTCAACCCTAAACTGATGATATTGGACTGTGGCACAGGAGCCCTTTCTTGAATATGGATTGTTTTTACGAAGCTTCTGGGACTTTTATGAACTATTTTTCATAAATAATGATGTTATCATATGGACTACTTTTTGCAATCTATTATTTGGTATTGTTCCCTTTTTTAAGTCATGTTTTATTGAAGATGTATCATATTTTATCAAACTATTTTGCATGAATCTGTCTTGTTTGTCAGATATCAGAATGTCCGTATATAGTAGGTAGAAGCAAATTGATCCCGGGATCTCATCCGGCCACTTCTCGAGAGAAGCCAGAGTATCAGCTTTAACAACATGGCTGGACAGCTTGTTCCACACTCCCACAACCCTTTGTGCAAAACATGTCTCCTGTATAACAAAGTACATAATAACTATCCAGGATTGGATCTGTGCTGGGAGGTAAAAAATGAGTCCCGATTGCTTGCAGACTCTCCTGGCTTTCATTTCCTCTTTAAACTTAATCAAACCAATTATTTTAAATGAGAATATTTAGCAGTTTTGTCCAGGGCTGGAAATGTCGAATATCTTATGATTTTATCACAAACATTAATTGGGTTATTATTTGTTAATTGCCCCAGGAATAAGACATGGCACCTTTGCATCTCTGACCTGTCCACAACTGAATCGAAATAACAGAAAAAATGTTGCTTACGTTAATTGAAATTCAGTTTGTGATTGATCGCGCTAGCTAGATCAAAGAAAGATTCTCTGATTTTGTTTTCTCAGCACTGCATTGCTATAACAGAGGTACTTTTCAGAAATCTCTACGTAAGTCCTGTGATCATTTAGCCTTTGTTGAGGAGAGCAGATCTGTGCAGTAATGATTACTCTGTCCTGCCCTGAGTTTCATGAGCCCAGGCAGGCTCTGGGGCTGTGTGTATTCCATGTGAAGGAGGGAATCTTTCTTTCAGGCTGGGTGCTCTGTACTGCGTTTCATTCCGCAGATAAAATCTGTTTTCCCACTGTACACATCTATAAGACGCCTGGCCGGAATTGAAAGAGAAGTTCCTACACCTGCAGCACAGACAGGACACCTCTTTTCTCTCTTTCACGGGGAAACCCAGGCTCACTGCAGCTTAACCTCTTCAGTCCAACAGTTCAGCTGCTCCAGTTACTGCCGATGCATCTGAGAACTGTTTTGAACCCAGTCGGCCAGCTGTGTGCTCTGTGGCTCCCCTGAGTTTGGAAAGTGCTTCGGTGTTGTACATCAAACTGTATTTTAGAAAAGCCTATAGTTTGATATACAGCATAGGAAGCCTTTTCCACCCGTTCCACGCTTGCTGTCTCCGTCGAGGGATTTCAGCACAACAGTGCGGCCCAGAGCTGGAGAGACGAGACTCGGTTACAGTACTTTAGCTCAGCTTGTATGTCATTTCACCTGTCGGCGATTTCCTTCCAGCTGAGGAAATTGAGTCCTTTCTCTGATCTGCTTCCTTGTTTAGATTTTTGGTTTGCCCATTTGTGCACTCTGTCCCTTCTGTTTCGAATCCACCTTGTTTCACCTGTTGGTTAAATCCAGAGAAGTGACCGCCTTTTGTTTCTAGCCAAACGCCTTCAGCATATGGAACTTAGCGTGGTGACCCAAGACAGGACTGCAATGACTAGGGATGGCCACTAGAGGCCGCCATGTGGGCAGCCTCCTGCAATGAATCTGTGAACGGAGCGGACCTGTTCCACAGTCTACAGTAGCTATAGGGGCTAATTGTCTCATTAATGGCTCGGAATGTGTAAGTTCTCAAGTGGCTTATAAGAACGCGTCTCAGCGCTGTAAGAGGAGAAGGAGTTACCTTAAAGAGTCAGTTTTGTAGAGGATTGGATAGAGTTGACCCAGAGTGACAGTATACAGT